CCAATATACTTCAGTAGTTGTTTAAAAGTTCATCATACGTTACGACCAAATCTTCGCTATGAATCAGACCCTTTTCGCCTTTCATGCCCCTTAGTTCATAGCAGATCAGGTGATCGTTCCTTTAGTGTAACAGCGGCCATAGAATGGAATAAACTCCCTACAGTTATTAAAACAACAAATAATGTTAAATCTTTTAAAAAATCTACTGAAAACATATCTTTTTTCAAAATTAACTTGAGCTTATTGCTTCAAATCATTATTCAACTCTGTAAACGCTTTGACATAGTTTTCTATGAATAGCGTATATAAATACTAATACTAATACTAATACTAATACTAATATACATATATATAGATATACGTATACATATATATATATACATATACATATACATATAGATATACGTATACATATAGATATACATATACATATATACATATATACGTATACATATATACATATACATATATTTATATATATATATATATATATTAAAATTTGCATTTTTAATGTGACTATAAACTAATTATTGTATATGTTTATCGTCGCTACTTCATTGAACCGAAAAAAATACGAATATCGCGATGGAAATATTACCTTTTGATGCCAATTTCTGACCGGAAAAATCGTTGCAGGATTTTTTGTATTTATTAATTAAAATATATTAATAAATTGTAGTTATAGGTCACAATGTTTGTATCGATCTATTAATTATTTGGTAATTAACTTATTTAAGATGTTAAGATATATTAATTAAGATATATTAATTAAGATATTCGTGTGAAAATTATTTACATGGGCCTAATTGCAGTTTATTTATACGGCATTTCGACGGATATTTGTCACCTCGTTTGAACCATCCTGAGCTCCGCTTACCAAAAATATTCGATAATCGTGCGATAATATTAGCATCTGGTTTTGTTTTGTCTTACATTTACATCCAGCGTTAGGCCCACTGAATTGTTTAATGCTTCATAAATTATTTGGTTAACATAGAATTTACAATGAAACTGATAATTTATAAGATTATTTTTTTGAAACAGAATACCGTAAAATAGGTAACATTTTATTGAGAAAAAAAAACCAAATTTTACATTGACGACGTAAGTAGATTTAATATGCTGAATCATTATTAAAGATATATAGCCCTACCTATTATATTTCTATAAATTATTCAACAAATCTCTCATTACTCATACTATCGTAAATGAAGTATTATTGAAGTATTATTAATTCTTTATACAATTTTTATACCTCCATGATTAAAGCATTATTCGAGCACCTTCATTATTATTATTATTATTATTATTATTATTATTATTATTATTATTATTATTATTATTATTAATATTATTATTATTATTATTATTATTATATATTATTTATCAACCATATTAACATTAAAAACATGAATTAGCATATATGGATAAAATTATCGCAGAAACTTATAATTTATAAGATTATTTTTTAATACAGAATCAAATAGGTAACATTTTTATTTAAAATCGCGTTTTGCATGGACGTAATTTTATTTAATATGCTGATCCTTATTATCTCATTATTCAAACTATCGTAAAATTAATATTATTATTATTTTTGTTTATTTTTTGTTTTATGTATATGCATAGTCCTATATAATATATAATATATAATGTATATATTTAATAATTTAATTAGAAATAATTATCTAAATTACTAATTGTAAAACAAATATAATATAATGTTGACAATAATATAGGCTACTAGACCTAATCAAATATTTATATAATAAAGCCAAATATTTAGAACATCATCACAGTCCAGCCCTCCATCTTGTTTTAAGGGGAATTCTTTTGTCGTCTGAGGTTCTCCTTAGCATTGTCAAATTTTATCTTTAGGGACAGTATTTTTATTATGGAACTGTTTTCACCCTCTTCATTGTCGTATGTTCCCCATGGCCACCTTTTCACCAGGATTTTAAAGAATGATGAAATTTCAGAAAATGTCCTCAAAATTTTAAGGGTGGTGCACAAAATTCTAAAGGGTGGATACAAACAATTGCTATTTTAATACATAGCAAGTGACACGCTAAGTCTGACCTTGCATTAATTTGCATTAATATTTTTTTGAAGCGTGGTTCCAATATTTTAAGCATGGCGTATAATTTGCCTTTTTAATATTTTTATTTAAATTATGTTGTTTCTGTGAGTATCCTGCGTGAAAAGATATTTTTATCTGCCATTAAAGATCCTAGTTAATCGTTTTTCATATAATCAATTTATTTACATATATTCTTGTTATAATAATGATTTACTATAAATATTGTTTAACATTTACGGAAATAAATGTCGTTTAATTAATGAAAAAATTATTCAAATCCACTTGCACTTGACAACAACTAGGCATCAGTTATTATTTTTAATGGTGTCTACCACATATTTCTTCTTCAATTATATACAGATACGAAATAAAAGCTCCATTGTACAAATATTTATTCAGTTTGTTTTCAACGTAGTACTATCAGATTGTTTTGAAAG